AAGCTCTTGGCCATTTGCTGTGTTTTCTAGGTCTGACTAAATATTAATCTGAGTATTTCCAGGCAGTCTTCTCTTACTGTAAAGAGTCCCAACGTCTTACGTCTCCCGAATCCTACATCATGACTGCCTGTGCTTCTCTTTCCCAGAATCCTTCTCAACTCCTAGTCCCACCTGTCTTGCTTTCCTATTGGCCAACAGTGCTTTATTTGCATATACACAGGACTTGCCCCATTGTCTCCTCTTTTGTCTAAATAAAAGAAAGTTAACTTCAACATAGTAAAGCATATAACAATGCAGTTATTAACCAAGAACTATAAATGCAATATTTAGTTCATTAAAATTTAACAAGATTTAAAGAAAACATCATCTATCCTATCTTTGTGAGTCTAAAGTCTTATATGTAGCTTCTCTTTCATTATAACTAAGGAAAACTATAATTATAACTATCTGTCTTTGACTCCATCAAAGTCCACAGAATGATAATATATAAACACTAGAAATGACAGAGATCTCGTTAACTAGACAGTCACCCAAAGTTCCTCTGCAACATTGGGGTACATAAGTTAGTAAAATCTATTCCAGGCCAACTCTTTAACTTCTAGAAACTTCACACACCCTCTGAGGGTCAGGCTCTTTATTGTTCTCTTTCCGCTCTAATAATCCTGTCCTGCTTCTAACTTCTCCATGCTTCTTCTATTCTAAAAACTCTTCTCCTTTAGGAGCCTTGAAATGAGAACGAAGTTTCTCTTATTGGTCAAAAGCACATTCGTAGAGGAAGCAATAAGGAGCTGAGCCATTTACCATGATAACACAAGGATCCAAGCAATCGGAGAAAAACCATGACCAGACAGGAAGAACACAGTGTCCAATGACAACTCGAAGACACATATCTATTGTTAGTAGATTGGCAAGTGAAGATACCATGCCTTTCTTGGTAACCTTGGTAGACATCTGTGACTCTGACCTTGTGCAAACTGTAAAGTTTGTTCTTTACAAAAAGCCCTCAGTATAGTTTGAACTTGCTGTGACGTAAAAGTAAGCTGTGTGTAGTAATCTGAGTAAGAGTACAAGACATACTACTAATAGTTCATAGTCTTTCTGGAACCAATAGATTCAGTTGTGAAACATATTCTAGTTTAGATTCTATATATCAAAATTATGTAGGTAAATGAAAAGTCACCTTCCAGATCATCCACAGTAAACAACTAACCCACTGTAGTGCTGTGGGAAGAATCCCTAAGCGGTAATGTGAGGGAAAGAGCTCTTCACACAAGAATCTGCACTGAGGACAGCTTAGCTCATTCAGAAGGCAGTATTCCAGTTCCCAAACTAAGTAAGGTGTCTCCATCACTGTGCACCTGTGGTGACTCTATTCCTCATAGCCTTGCTAAGTGAGGTCTAGATCTCCATGACATATGCACCTCTAATGGGAAGACCCCTGAAGTATGTGCTGAACGCTCACTGTGTATTTCAGCAGTCAGTAGCAAGCTATGACCTAAAATCCCAGAAATTATAGTCCTGAAAGATGAGGTGTCAAAGGTATGGATCAGGGATGAGAAAAGGAAGAAATTTTGGGATCAGTAGGTTTGGTATGCCAAGCAAGTTTCAGAAGTACTGCATCTAATAGACTTTTCTCCAGGGGAGATGGGGCAGAGTCAACTGAAAGCTATAAAATTCTATATAAATATATGCAGCTAGGCGTGGAAGCCACTGTAACCTCTGTACTGAGCACAAAGATACAGGAGTATTACTGTAGTGATTAGTCATTGAGGTCATACCACTGTTTCTTATGTTCCCCATGGCCAGTGGAGTTAAGTCTCTGAGGACCATAGTGTATTCTACAGACCCGAGTAGAAAACCAGGGAAGGAAGGATACTGAGTTCAAGTGTAGTGCAAATAAACCCTTCCCAATTTTCTTTCTAAAGCTTGATGTGATGGGTTTTCCTCAACTTGACTACATCAGGAATTCAGTAAAATAAAAAGACCAGACACATCTATAGGTTAGTTTTTCTCGATCACAAATTTGAAGTGGGCCACTTCAATTATAATCTGAATCTTTGTGCTGGGGGAAACAACACTTTAATCCCTATCTTTAGAGGCAGGAAGAGTCACCATTAATCTGGGCCACACCTTCTGCTGGCTCCCTAAAGAAAGGCAGAGAAGAAGAGGGATGCCTCTCTTTACCTGCTTGCCCTCACCGTTTCTTCACTCTCATCAAAGCCAGCCTTTTCAGGATTTCACTATATGCTGAAGACCAGCTGAGACCGATAACCTTTAGGAGTGATGAGCAGACAGATCCTGAACCTCTCCTCCATAGGCAGCTGTTGTAAGACCAGTTGAACACCAGCCTGTAAGCTGTAAGTCATTCATAGAAATCCCCTAGTAAATATCATATTCACATACATACATGTGTGTATGTACACAGACTCTCTCTCTCTCTCACACACACACACATACACACACACACACACACAGAGGAAAGATAGAAAGGCAGAGACAGAGACATTAATTCTATAACGACTGTTACTCCCAAGAAACCTGATTACTAAACAGGAAAACCTGAGGTGAATTCATACTCATCTTAAGCAAATATAAGTGCTATGAAGAAGGATACCTAGTGTTATGACTTACCCTCTTTGGTCATGTGAGAGAATCAAAAGTATTGCTCCAGTGACAAAGTATTTCCTTTGTCACAGAGAAAATGTAAACACCCAGGGCGTTTCCTTCGTGTACTTGCTTTCACACACATTCACTAATCATACCTCATGCAGTTCTTTCTAGAAGACTAACTTAGGGGAAGGACATGCTGATCATTCCCCATCCATGGCCCACAGCGTTCTCATACAGAATCCAATAGGAAGTTAGAACCCAAAGTATTTAATACACCTGTGGACAGAGTTTAAAACTGTCCTCATGAACACACACACACACTGCAAGGGGGAGGATGTGCATGCTGAAGAAAGGATATTTGATCTAGAAGGCAAAGGGTAAAGGATTCAGATCTCATCACCTATGGGAGTCTGTGTCCTGGTGCTTTTAGACAGCTGGGCCATGGGAGTATGAGGTTGAGACAATGCTCCTTCATGGTTTAAGACCCAGCCCAGGAAAACACAGAAAGAGGCCTAGGGTGTAATTTCTGTTACATTGGCCTATTTCTGTTACATTGGCCTTCCCTGGAGGAAGTTCAGGTGCCTTCCACAGACTCTCAGTTGCAGCAGCTGATAGATAGTCCCTACCCTACAAACTGCTTCATCGCAGTCCAGCCTGAGAACACTGTGATATTCAGTGAGTGAAATGAAAGGTGAGACTTTGCCCTGGTTCTCAGGCAGTGGATGTCAACTTGCCCATCTCTGTGTGGAGAACAGGCTGCTGGTTGCTTTAGCCTTACTTAACACACACTTCAGGGCACCTGGGGAAGTTTCCCCAGGCTTCTTCACAGCTCTATAGCATGTAACTTGGCTTTAGTACACTTAAGCATGTATCTTGAGAAGCCAGGTGGAGAATGAGTAAGTCTAAAAACACTCACTTGGGCGGAGATTACAAGATTCCCTGCCGGGTCACTACACCACAGGCCTGGACATAGAGAAGACATGGAGGGCTAGGTCATGGTCACCAGACTCATCAAGCCAACCACTACAGCCCAGGACACCCGAAGCTGGCAGGAAAGAGTGTCAGGAGCCTTCACCATAATTCAGTCTTAGCACCATTACGTACTCATAGAGAAGACATGACTCCAGGTAACACTGCTAAAAAACCACCTCTCAAGATAGGAAGCAAGTTCCCACAAAACAGACCTGTGGCTCATCTGCCTAGTCTAAGGTTTAGGCTTGTACAATAGAAGAATGAGAAAGATAAAGTTAGAATCTGCAGTTAGGTTACCAGAGGACACAGGATGCCCTACCCATCCCACTGACCTTTGTTCTTACAGGCTCATTGCAGCCGCAGCACACCCCCATTCCTTCCCCTCCTCCCTTCCCCTATATAAATCCCTTTGGGAAGATATAAAAGTTGTTGACGTGATCAGAATCCTGTCTTTTCATCTTTTCTCGTATCTCCCGTCCCCCATCTTTCTCCTAGGTGTCCACCAGGACACCTTTAATGTTCCATGGGTCAGGGCAAAAGAGCTAGTCTGTGTCCTGGACCAAAGGCTCTAACAGTTCTCCTGCTGTGCTGGGGAACTGCTGGCCACCCTCCCCTGCTGACTAAGAACATGAGGGGGCCACTGCCAGAGAGTGCTGGTCAGAGTAACTCTGCTGTGAAGCCTGAGAACATGAGTCTTCTCTGGAAGCACTTAACTCTCCCTGTTCCCAGTGTCACCCCATGGCACCTAAAGTAGCCACTGGCAGTGAAGTGCAGTCATGCCCTGCCCTAAGCTTGGGACATCTCAACAGTCCCTCCCTGTTTCCTGATGGTTTCTAAGTCTTACAAGGAGACTAAATGCAGGAACTCCCAGAACAACAGCTACACCTCTGCCAGCTTCTGGCTTTTCACATAAACAAACTAATATTTGGAATCCCTGTCTTTCAAGAAATAGGACAAGCTGGGAATCACAGTTCCTTCCTAGAGGCTCCCAACTCCTGATCCTCTTGCCTGGAAAGCCCCCCTCAAAGCCATCTCCTCCAGGGAGCCCATGATTCCGGCCCAGGACTCATTGGGCCTTCTGAAAGACCATCTCTTTCTTGTTGTTTGTCTGTGACCTCAGGTCAGCTTCCTTCTGTCTTTCTGTGGTCTTTCTTTGCTGTCCATTCTTTATCCAATAATATGTCCATGGAGAGCCCTATATGCACTGAAGGAGTGACCCATAAGCAGTTGGTGGCACCATGACACTGGTGACAGAGAATTCGAGGGCTATCCAGGATACAATAGAATCTCCTGCAAAGGGACTGTTGATGTTATTGCGAACTCCCCTTTGAACTAGCTCTTTTGATATTGGTCAGGATCCAAGCTGCCCTTTCCCAGACTCTTTGGTGACAAGGAAAGCAAATAAAAAATGCAAAGAATCAATGAGACAAAGAGTTGGGTCTTTAAGAAATTCAACACAACAGACAAACTATTGTCCAAACTACCCAAACGATTAGAGAGACAATATCCAAATTAAGAAAATCAGAAAGGAAAACAGGGACATAATAACAGACACTGAGGAAGTCTAGAGAAACATTAGATCATACTTCCTACTTTTGAATCAGAGAATCAAACAATGTAAATTTTAAGCAGGAACCGTCATTGTGTTGATGAGCAGTAATTCTATAATGTATTCATTTCATCTGGTGAATCATTTCATATGTTGTCAATATTGTGATTATTTTCTTTGCATTCCTGAATTCAACTTTTGAAACTGTTTTAAGTGAGTGTATTCATTTGTGTAATGGTGTGCACGTGACACTCAGAGGACAACTTACAAGTATAATTACTATTTAATCAACACGAGTTCCAGCAATCAAATGAAGGTAGTCGAGTTTGGTTTCAAGTGGTCTCACTGACCTTAATTTGGTTTAAAAATTATTTGTGTATGTGCTGGTGTGTGAGTTTGCATACGCCCATCTTAGGTGTAGTAATGACAGAAAAACTTGTAGGAGTCCTCTGGGTCTCCCAGAAATTGAGCACAGTACATTGGGATTAGCATCAAATTACTTTACCTACTGAGATAATTCTCTCCCGTTCATTTAGGGTTATGAAAAAATGATATGAACAAGTGTTTTGCCCTCAGAAGAAATTAACACAATCCCTCCCATGACAAAATAAATATCATTTTCATTATCATATTCCTCTATTAAATGACTAAATGCTTACATTTGAACATTTGAATAGGAGATAATATTTTACTGATGTAATTTTTTTTTTTTTTTGGTTTTTCGAGACAGGGTTTCTCTGTGGCTTTGGAGGCTGTCCTGGAACTCGCTCTGTAGACCAGGCTGGTCTCGAACTCACAGAGATCCGCCTGCCTCTACCTCCCGAGTGCTGGGATTAAAGGCGTGCGCCACCAACGCCCGGCCCTGATATAATGTTTCTACTAATCCTATATGAACACATTTGTTTACATTCACAATACCTCTGACCATGAAGAGGGGCCCCATAGAGCTTGAACAGAGTGTTGACACTTGTCACATTTTCCTCCACAATAAATAATCTTGTGATCTTGCATAATAAAATGTAAGTGTTTTGTCCAAAGATCTTAACAAATCCCTCATGGTCATGGGTTCCCCTAACTATAATTTCTTTACTATCCCCATTCTCAATACAAATTCCTTACTGACGTGGAGGATCATAGTGCATACATAGGTATTTATCACTTGCTTACATTCACAGAGTTTCTTTCCAGTATGAAGTCTTTTTTTAAAATATAATTTTTTTTTATTGAATCTATGGGAATTGATGATTAGGAATCCCCATTCCACTCACCTTCCTGTCCAACTATAGCCTGTGGTACCCCCCAAATGAAAATTATTTTAAAAATCAAGCCAAAACAATCAAGCAAAAACAACAAACCCCAAAACAAAACAACAACAACAACAAAAAACCAAAAATAGCCTCTTCGCTCCTCTATCTTTCCCAGTTTCCCGCACCCTTTCACTGTTCCTGGTGGCATTGGAGATGGTATTTCACAGTGCACCCTTTTTTCCAATCAGCTGTACTTGCAGATGTTCATTCCACTGAGTCATTGGTTTTGTTCAAGGCCTCTGGTTTCTGGTATGACATCATCACTGGATTCACTGAAACTCCTCTTGGTTATTGTGCAGCTGCCCAAGTTATGGAGACACTGAGGGTATTGCTCTACAGGACCAGTCCCTTCTTGAGCTCCAGCAGATCCTAAATTGTGCATATGCTAGGATGTGCCAACCCTGGGCGTACCTGTGGTCTCAGTGGGAGCTGAGTTGATCAATCTAGGCAACTGGGGATTCCTCCCTTAGGTAGGGGGTGGGTGGAGCCGGCTCTCTGATGCCCAAGTCTTCAGGGTAAATCCACGCTCACCCATGCTGAGAAGTAGCTCTCCCATGAGGGCTGCAGCCAGATCTCAAAGTGTCAAGTGACAGGCAGGAGCAGCTATCCTGTGGCCAGCCAAGGGTGGGGAGGGCTTAGCACGGCCCTGATTTCATGACACAAATGATTCCTATAGTCTCCTGAGGTGACATGGAACACAAATATCAATAGAGAACTCTGCTGCAGGAGGACCACAGACCCAGAAATTGCCAAAGCAGAAGCTTGGGCCCAAATGGCATCTTGGCTCCAGGTATCAGCACAGACCACTCAGAACAGTATGACTTTGGTGGCGGCATGGCTCCCAGTGTACAGATTTCAGCCTTGACACCAGGCTTCCATGTGACTTTGCTGGCAACACAGGCCTTGAACTTCCCACAGATCCCTTCTAGGGTAGGGGCACAGGCACAGAATATGGTCCCCAACAGCAGGCAGGTCTCAATGTCACTACTGCCCCAGGTGGCAGTGCAGGGCACTCAGAATGACACAATCTGTACAGCAGTGTGGTCCTCATCCGTAACATGTCAAAAAATCTTGGGCATTCATATGGCCTTCCATTGTAACAGGAAGCTGAGACATTAACACACACTATTGCTGCAGCAGGGCCAGGGACACAGACATGGCCCTCAGCTGTAGCTTTGGCCCAGACATCACCATGACACCAAGCAGCAGCACAGGCAGCTCAGATATGTAGTTCCGGCCTCCACTTGGATTCAGGAGGCTGACCTGACCCTGCATATCTACCTTGTCATTGATGGCAAAATGGACCACAGACTTCAACACAGGCCCAGGATGTGATAGGACCATGAATCCAGACATGGTCCTCAGCAGCAATCTGGGTCAATTATGTCATCATGTTCCACAGTGGCGCTATAGGCCAGAATGGTTCTGGTGGCAGTGCAACCCTCAGACATCAACATGGCTCCAGAGATAGATGCCAGGAATCCACATGGCCATCCTGGCTTCAGCAGCCATAGATATAAACATTCCCTGGGTGTTACTGGGCCACAGACCCAGACATGGCCCTTGATAGCTTCCCAACCCTGCAGGGTACCATTACTGTGGGTGGTAGCACAGGTCATGGCCCAGACCCTAGACCTCTGTGTCGACCCTGGTCGCAACAGATCTTCAGAAATGCCGGCCATGGTAGGATCACAGACTCAGACACGGTTCCTGGGCCCCATAAATGTTTTAACAATATCACAGTCGAAAATACATTCAGTTCAACTTCAAAAGTTCCCATAGTTTATCATAGTCTCATCAATGTTGGAAGTCAAAAGTTCAACTTCTCTTTTGAGATCATGTAATCTATTAACTGTAATCCCCTGTAACATCAAGATCAAAAAGAAGATTGCATACTTCCAACATATAATGGCTTACAACATACTTTACCATTCCAAAGTTTAGGGAAGGGAGAATACGGGACCAGAAAACAATCAAATAACAGGTGGTCATACTCCAAATTCTGCATCAGAACACCATCTCCAACTCTGTTCAGCTTTGTTGGTGGCAACACACTTCTTTCTGTTGGACTGGTTCCACTCCCAGTCAGCAGCCCTCCTCAGCGGGTATACCACGACTCTCGAATCTCTAATACACTGGATTCCGCAAGAAAACTTGCTTCACATCATGGCCTTTGCACTAGACATGCCTGAGCAGACTGGAATCACATGGGCCCACAGATGTCTTCCTGCCATGCCACGATCGGAGCACCCAGCTTGGAGAGAGGATGGCTTCATCCTGCCTGAACAATGTAGGATTAGATGAGCCATGATGGCTTTGTGTCAGCTCACATCTTCAAGACACAGGTAGGTGGCTTTCGTCTGGCTGGACTGAGTGGCATCAGATGCACCGTGGACGTCTTCCCCTAGTATGAGTTCTTTTATGAATCTGGAGCTGGCTATGTTGTAGAAAGGTTTTCCCACATTGCTTACATTCATATGGTTCCTTCTTGTATGAGTTCTCTTAGGCGTTGGGACAGCACTGTGTTTTGAAAAGGCGTTTCCACTTTCATAGTGTTTCTTTCTAGTATGAATTCTTTCATGTGCTTTAAGGGCACCGCAACTTGAAAAAGCTTTTCCACATTGGTTACATTCATAGGGCTTCTCACCAGTATGCATTCTTTTATGTATCCGGAGACCAGCATCGTGTGTAAATACTTTCCCACATTGATTACATTCATAGGGTTTCTAATCAGTATGAGTTCTTTTATGCATCCGGAGACCAGCATCGTGTGCAAATACTTTCCCACATTGATTACATTCATAGGGTTTCTCTCCAGTATGAATTCTTTCATGTATTTTAAGAGTACTGCAATTTGAAAAAGCTTTACCACATTGCTTACATTCATAAGGTTTCTCTTGTGTGTGAGTTCTCTTATGCATTTGGAGACCATTGTGTTTTCTAAAGGCTTTCCCACATTCAGTACATTCATAGGGTTTCTCACCAGTATGAGTCCTTTTATGTTCCCGGAAAGAAGTGTCGTGTGAAAACAGTCTTCCACATTGCTTACATTCATAGGGTTTCTCTCCAGTATGAATTCTTTCATGTGTTTTAAGAGTACTGCAATTTGAAAAGGCTTTACCACATTGCTTACATTCATAGGGTTTTTCTCCAGTATGGCTTCTTTTATGAATGGTGAGATGACTCGGTTGTGAAAAGGCCTTACCACATTGATTGCATTTGTAGGGTTTCTCTCCAGTATGCATTCTTTCATGTGTTTTCAAATAACCGTAATCTGCAAAAGCTTTCTCACAATGATTACATTTATAGGGTTTCTCTCCTGTATGATTCCTTTTATGTATTTGGAGACTACAGTGTTTTGAAAAGGATTTACCACATTGGCTACATACATAGGGTTTCACTCCAGTATGAGTTCTTTCATGTTTTTTAAGATAACCTTGATGTGTAAAAGCTTTCTCACATTGATTACACTGAAATGGTTTCACTCCACTATGAGTTTTTTTATGAGTGTTGAGATGACTCCGTTGTGAAAAGGTTTTCCCACATTGATTGCATTCATAGGGTTTCTCTCCAGTATGGGTTCTTTTGTGAATATAGAGATGGTGCTGATATGAAAAGGCTTTACCACATTGGCTACATTTGTAGGTTTTCACTTCAGTATGACTTCTTTTATGCCTGTGAAGATAATTGGCACATGTCAATGCTGTATAACATTCATTAGGTAGATAAGACACAGTACATTTGCAAAATTAACCAAGATAAACAGAAGAATTTCTGCTATTTGTATTCACAGGAGTTTCTGTGGTGGTATACGACACATTAAAATTCTTCTGTGTGACATCTGTATTAGTTTGCACATGAAAATTACCTTCTCTGTCTTCTAAATCGTTGACCATGTTCTTCACTGTCATGGGCTTCCCATTTGTAGCCTAAAACATAGTACCAGAAAACGCCTGATAGATTACTGGAAAGTATACAACTTTATGTTAGTATATTCAGTGACCCTAAGAACCCTGCCTGACATATTTCACCACATTATTCAGCTTTTTCAAAATTACAGAAGAGGACTAGTTAGCAAGAACAGGTAGTCTTCTTATTTGAAAAGCTGAAGGGAAATTCAGTCTTACCTATAGCAGTAAGGTGACTATAAATCTCCAGCATCACATCTTTGTAGAGACTCTTCTGGGAAGGATCCAGCAAAGCCCATTCTTTGGAAGTGAAGCTGATATGCACATCATCATAGGTCACTGCATTCTGGAAGTGTGTTATTGATTACAATATGAATGTAGACATCTTTGACAATATAGTCACATAATTCTGGTATTTGACAACTTATTCCAGTACAGAGAAGTTCTCATCCATTCATTTTAGAAGGAACTGAAAAGGAGGTTTGGAGGTGGGGTTTGATGACTCACCAGACTCAAGATAAATGATATGGGTGCTTACTAGGGAAGGACTCACACAGATGAGAGTAAATAAGTCCTGTGTTCTTCCTGCCCAGAACATGCAGTCTCGGTTCTTCCGATGCTCTCCACAACTAGACATCCTGAGCCTGCCCCTCCTCTACTCTATAATGTGTCCCTTTTGCATCTGATACCACACCCAAAAGTTGTGGCCCCACTACAGTTCACTGGCAAGGCAAGATATCACTACAGATGTTCACATGTGTCATTTCTTTGCTCTTTGAATGGAATTTACACTTTCAAAAGAAATGACTATAAAAAGACATACAGAGACAAGCAAACAAACCAACAGTACTAAGTACACATCGGGGAAATTGAATGAGCAATTACTAACCACAAAAGAAAGAGATGGCAAATAGGGTACATTTTCTCATATCTTTAAGCCTATCAGTCAGAAGGTAAAGAATGCTGATTATCATTGAATGAATATGCCCGTCTGATATATGAAATGAGTTCCAAGACATATTTGGACCCTGTCTCACCCCACAACAAACCTAAACCAACCAACCAACCAGCCAATAAAGAAAAAGAGGAGGTTACTGAAGTTCCTATTAAGAGGTAAGCATTCATTCCCTATCTGTAATCATTTCCCAGAAATCTGAAACATCATACTTTGAACTGTGAGATTAATATGATCTAACTAAAAGGTAATGAATGTTTAAAACCACTTCTTGGTAGAGGAGAGGAGTGTGGAAGCCAGAGAAGAGCAGGACATCCTAGTGCCACAGAATCAACAAAGTATGAATAATAACCTAGAGAGAGATAATTGGGGTCTAGCTGAGGATCAGAAGAGTAAAGCAGCTAGCTAGTAGCTCTTACCTCTTCCTGAGACTAAGGCAGGGACCCTGTCCTCAACATGAGTGGAGACCAATTGCCAGCTCTGAAACCCTGCTCCTTTCTTATATACCTTTCTAGTGGTGGGATTAAAGTCATGGGATCTCAAGTGCTGAGATCACCTTTGTGTGAACTGTTTCTCCTTTTAGACTGATTCACTCTGTGTAGGTCAGGGTGGCCTTGAATTCACAGAGATCCATTTGCCTCTGTTTCCTGAGTCCTGGGATTAAAGGTGTGTACAACGGGCTGGAGAGATAGCTCACAGCTTAAGAGCACAGCCTGTTCTTCAAAAGGTACATAATTCAATTCTCAGAAACCACATGATGGCTCACATCCATCTATAATGAGATCTGGTATCTTCTTGTGGTGTACAGGAATGCATGCAGGTAAAACACTGTATCCAAAATCAATCAATCAATCAATCAATCAATCAATCAATCAATCAATCTAAAAAAAAATAAAAGGCTTGCACAACCACAAACAAGCTGCCATGGCTAACTAGTGTGGCATCTGGGATTAAAGGTGTGTACCACCACTGCCTGCCTCTATGCCTGTAGCTGGCTTTGCACTCTAATCTTTGGGCAAGCTTTATTAGATCATAAACAATATATCAGCACAGTCAAGGACAACAGGAAAACCTTGCCCCACAGAAACAATAAAGCAGGGATTATAGGGGTCCTAAGAGACAGAAACAGAAACCACAGAGCCTGCGTTCGCCTGTACCAGGTCCTCTGCAAATATATTGTGGTTGGTTGACTTGGAATTTAGTGGGACTCTTAACCTTTAATAACAAATGCAAGACCACCAATTTTTAAGGAAACATTGTATGATTTTTATTATATACCTAAAGCAACTTGTTTTGCTCTAATTGCTTTCTATGTTATAAGCACTTTAGAAAACACATTTATTTCCATTTCTGTGTATGTATGTGTGAGAGAATGTCTTCCATGTGCATACTGATTACACACCACAGAAAAGGGTGACATAACTCTTGGGCACAGAGTAGCAGATTATGACCTCCCGACTTGTTTTTGTTTTCTGACATAGTTTTCTCTACAACATCCTTAGCTATACTAGAGCTATCTCTCAAAGACCAGCCTGGCCTCGAACTCATAGAGATCCGCCTGCCTCTGCTTCCCAAGTGCTGGGATTAAAGGAGTGTGACACCATCACCCAGTTCTCACACTAATTTAAGGACAGGAACTCAGTTCATCTCCAATAAGAGTATGAGTACTTTTTATCAAATACATTAGAAATCCTTTACAGATTAACAACAACAACAAAATCAAATAAATAAGGAAGTAAATAAATGACCCTTGGGATATTCATGCACCAATATTAAGACATTGCATATGGTCAATTGGAAGCATATATTGACTACAATCCAAAGAAAATTCCTAACAATTTATACCAGGAAAGCTCACTGCAAAGCTACAAGAAAGTAGAAACACTCAGGATGCTCAAAGAATCACGAAAAATTAGTATACACATGGACACATTGTGAACTCTATATTTACCACAACAGCTACAATAATCAAGAATGTATACAGTATTGGCAAAAGAATAAAGGAGGTGGAGAGAATGGTCCAAGAACAAAACCACAAAACATAAGTGAAGTTTTAATCAAAAGACCTAAGGAAACTTGGCCAAGAAAAGTGTGAACTTGACCAATGTTAGCCAACTACCTATGATTCTATGTGTCTAAACACTGAATAAATAAACTTCACAATTACCATAAAATTGACTCAATGTAACCCTTGAACTGTTATGTTTCTAATCATCCAGCTACTCATATTTCTTCTAGAAAAGCCCCAAGCTCTGTAGTTGGCAATACAGAAAGATGGAATGGACTGATTAAAACCAAGTTAGTACAACTCAAATATACCCCTTGAAAAGAATATTGCAGCCAGGCGTTGGTGGCGCATGCCTTTAATCCCAGCACTCGGGAGGCAGAGGCAGGCAGATCTCTGTGAGTTCGGAGCCTGCCTGGTATACAGAGCGAGTTCCAGGACAGCTTCCAAAATAATACAAAGAAACCCTGCCTCGAAACACCAAAAAAAAAAAAAAAAAAAAGACTATTGCAATTGCATGCCGAGTTAAATACTAGACAAAGATGGAATAGAGCTTCTCCCTTAGCTTCTCTCTATTAACTCAGGGATAGAACAACAACCCGGTATTTCCCAATTTGATGAGGGACGTGTCCTCCCCATAACATGGAAATCCTGTAAAATCCAAGAAAGTAGCCTAATACCGTTCGTTATTGAGAGAGGAGGATGGGATGACAACAACCAATTATTCAGAGCCCACTAGAGGGCAGCATTTGTCAACACCCTATTTCTCCATCAATAGTTACCAGATGCCTGACCTTAATCTACCTGCAAGGCTTAATTACCCTAGGAGCCAGAAGATATCACTTACCTCAAATCATGGCTCCCATCTGAAGAACTCTCCCCTGAGACTGAACTTAGCAGAACACCAGTCTCTTCCTGCTCCTCAGGAAATAGTTTTACTGCAAGGAAACCTTACAAGTTGATGACAGCGGGAGCTCTGTCAGTTGGCTCCTTAGTTGGAGTTGGCACAGCATCTTCTGTTCCTTCTGACATTGATGCAGATATAGCAGGCATCAGAAATCTTACTTAATTAAAACCTCTGACTGATAATGCCTTGTCTGACAGACTAGCTACTAACCACAAACTCATTACAGGCCTTCATTTGGAACTAAATGTATTAAAGCAATCATTGGCAGATACTAAAAAATACACAGCTGAAATTTCGTTTGAAGAGACTAGCTGAAACCAAAATTCTAAGTCCTTTACTACAGAGTTTGGAACAAAAACTGCAATCTACAAGTCTCTATTGGACTCAGGTCAAACCTCTTGGTCTGAGCATGGATTGTTTAAAATATATTTAGTATATGAATGACAAAGACCAGCTTTAAAAAAAAAGTTGCCTAGGTGGGATTTGTTGTACCCCCTGATTCATTCATCCTTTCCTCCTTCCTTCCTTCCTTTTTTTGGTTTTTCGAGACAGGGTTTCTCTGTGGCTTTGGAGGCTGTCCTGGAACTCACTCTGTAGACCAGGCTAGTCTCGAACTCATAAGGATCCGACTGCCTCTGCTGGGACTAAAGGCGTGCGCCACCGCTCGGCTCCCCTGATTCTTTCTTATAGAGTATTTGGACTGATACACAGTGTATCTACTATCCAGAGGAACACACCATCTCACCTGGGGCCAATAACTTTGTGTCTACACATCCTCTGCCCAGGGAGTTAAAAATGTCAGAACTGACCCCTTATGTATTTACAAAGCAACTCACAGACAAGCCTGAATTTCATGCTCCATGAAGTACTTCAACCTCACAGTTCATTTCTACAACTCACCAGGGATACCTTGTACTTCACGTTTTATTTTGTAGAACCTGGTTGTCTGGCTATATATGTGATGCTACTGGAGTTACAACTCATTTGTCAGGACAAGTAATCACATCCAAGACCTCCAGTCTAACCCTCAAACAGAGACAAATTTTTGACTCGGGTACCCTGTATAATAATGAACCGAACAATATCTGGCCAGGAAAAGCTAGGAAGCCACTAATTGGCATTTCCACTGATCTTTATTTAACATGCCACAAGTACAGTCAATGGAGTATGAGATTACTGGGGATACTGAGACCCCGGAGGACATAGAGTTCAATATCAGCTGTACTCAAAGCAGACACTCCTGCCTACACCCACAGTTAGCAAGTTTAAAAAATGCTCTTTATTTGATGTGACTGGCAGAATATTGACTTTACTTGACTCCCCACATGAAACTTATTCTACTGGATAAAGGAGAGCTTTGGGGCTTTTTGTATATATCACATTGTCCCTTTGGGCATATAAATTCCTTATGATTATTTTGGCTTGTTTAATAAACCAGTTTAGGAGGAATCATGTCAACAAGATCCTGAGACCTCTGTA